TTCTAGTCATATTCTACTTCCTTTACGCCATTTGTGTGGAATGAGTTCACTCAAGAGGAAATTGAAGACTCTGACGCTCGAAGAGAAGTTGCACTTGATTCGGACTGTCGAAGAAGGCCGGCTGAAGAAGAAAGACATCGCAGAGAATTTCGGGATTCCTCCCTCTACACTCTCTATCATTATACGCAGCAAAGATAAGGTTTTGAGTGCACATGAGAAGCGCCTATTTACAGCAAGTTGCACGAAGATGAAGACAGCCAAGCAAGAGGACGTGGAAGCGGCTCTTCTGAGATGGTTTCCTGAAGTTCGTGACAGCACCACCTCGTGTCCGGAACACTGATGAGAGAAAAAGCGGATCAACTTGGAAAGGAACTTGGAGTTGATTTTAGTGCAAATGTTGGTTGGCTGGAACGATTCAAGCACCGTCATGGCATCGTGTTCCGACGAATTTGTGGGGAAAGTGCAGATGTTCCACAGAAGGAATGCGAAAGTTGGATCGAGGAAGAACTCTTGCATGTTCTAGGTTGCTACAGGCCTTAAGATGTGTTTAATGTTGATGAAACAGGCTTATTTTTCAAGCTGATGCCAGACAAAACCATGATTTTTCTCCATGACCCTTGCATTGGTGGGAAAAAGAGCAAGGACAGAATCACAGTCCTCGTTGGTGTAAACATGGATGGGTCCGAAAAACTCCCACTGTTGGTGATAGGAAAATCCGCAAAGCCACGATGTTTCAAGAATGTGAAGCCCCTCTGATCTGCCTTCAGAATGATGTACAGGGAGCAAGACTTTAACCACTTGCTCCGCTGTGGCCCTTTGTTCCATCAGTTTGTCGTCGACATGTATGTAAAAATCGAAAGTGAGCGGCTTAGATATTTTTGTCTTAACCAGACAAAACTGAGGGTGGAAAATATGAACATCTCCGAGATGCCATGGCCAATGATGGTGATCCAGCCAATGTTGGCAGGCTGACCATCCTTCCCTCCTCTTTACTGGAGGACCACGCTACATGCAGGAAAGGACTCAGGATGCCATGACTTATGTCAGAAACTATGGCACTCCAGATCTGTTCATCACTTTCACCTGCAATCCAAATTGGCCGGAAATTACTGCAGAGCTGCTATCAGGCCAAAAAGCAGAAGATAGAACAGATCTGGAGGCGCGAGTGTTTCATCAAAAGTTGACCATCCTGATGATGCTACACCTACGTTGGACCAACGCTGGATCTGTGCTGGAATTCAACATTGGCGATGTTTGCGAAATGTTGGTTCCCAATGTTGGTCCCTCGTAGGTTCGTCCCACTGCCCCACATTGGGTCAATGTCAAATGCCGACATGCGCCATGACATTCGGGGGATTTCAAGAGGTTCGATTGAGATCGAATTTCCGTACGTAATTGTTCGGCTCCCCTACTGGAGACCTTGCCAGCGAGTCTCTATCGGTGTGGCTGGAAGTACTTAAGGGAGTAGTACATTTTGGGTAGTCATCTATTAAAGCCTTCAATTTCCATAGCGGGATTTGAGCCCCACTAGGCCCTTCTTCCACTATGGAAGTGCTTGTCCGCCAAGACTCAGATGATCTTCCTTTAATCACACCGAACCTCCCCGAGGGGAACCAGATGCAGCCTCTGCAATGAAGGAATAGCAACTTGTTTTATTCTCCCTAAGTCGAGTGAAACCCCAATTTGATTTATGCTTCCTCCACGATTAACAAGATTCTACTAGTATTTGGACTGCTTAACCTGTTTAAACAAATAATGGTGAAATTCGAGTGTCTTCTTTTACGTTCTTTATGGAAATTATGGAATTGCTTCAAATACCGCAAGAAAGGTACTGGGGTATTAAATTAATTAATCACTCTCTGATTCCCTCTGATCCCCCATAAATAGCGGCTGCATTGTCGCCATCTCGAATCAATTGTGGGAAGCTTTTTGTTGTAATAGGTGCTACATACCTGCCATCTTGCTTATTCTGTGGGAAGCTTTTTGTTCAACTAACGAAGAGAGATGTCGCGTCCTGAGTCAAGACAAATGTTGACTGCCACCCCAGCGCCAATGTGGGGCCAACAGGGGCAGCCCACTGCGATGTCAGGCCACTTTTCCCCACTCGCAGCCAATGTGAGCCCAATGTATTGTGCTGTCGGGGTGGTGACATTTCCTTTCGCTGATGCTGCAAAAAAAAAAGAAAAATGAACCAAATTTGGTAATGTCACTGACAAAGTACAAATAGAACCAATTCCGCCAAAAGAACCCGATAGGTAGTTATTTTGATACTCTCTTCCAAGAGAATGAAAAAGAGTTATAAATTGAGGAAAAATAAAAGAATTTATCACCAGATGTCGTTATTTCACCGAAAGACCTTGGAGAGACTATCATTTCGCAAAAGTTTCATGTTTGAAGCAGGGAAGAATTGCTGCCTGAGGTAGGTACTTAAACCAAAAATAATACTTTTAAGTTTACTATGCATTGCTTTAAAGAAAAATTGCAGCTTCCACTTAATAATTTTATTTTGAAATTGGCTAGTATTGCAAGGTTGCTACATGCCTATTGCGCAGTGGTCCCGAAACTTTTTCAGGCGAGGGCCACATGGACACTTTGGTCCATTCTGAGTGGGCCGCACTAGTAACGTTAGTCAACCTATTGTGGGCCGCATTGAAAAAGATCAAATATTTTTGCATGGTTAACCTTTTATGTTGCCATTTATCTCGTTGTCAAGCAACTCAAAACCGGGATGCCCCATTTAAAAAATAAAAAATGGCCGGGACTGGACGAAAGAAACCTAGGGGGCGACCAGGGCTTGAACCTAGGCCTCCTGTTCTCTCGTCCAGTGCGATACCATTACACCACAGAACACAGAACATACAACTAATTTCCCTATCACGGCACATAAGGGTTTCTGTTCCAACGACAACCGGCAGTCTCGCCCTCCGTTCAACGTGACTACACATTAAAAGTACTACTTCCTTTCTCGTATTTCGCAGCTAAAATACACACCAGCGCAATCGGCTCATCAAGAGCTTGCGATTGATGTATTACAGGCACCATTCGACGGGTCGGAAGTCTTTCCCTCATGGATAATTGTTAATTAGCAGTAAGAAAAAATGCAATTAGCAATCAGATGTAAAGGCCATCGTTGAAATCGAAGAGATTGCCTTGTCCGATGCAAGAGGGAGCACTAAAAAGGTAGCATCAAGGAAATAAAGTAAAAAACTTTTTAATTAATTAATCAATTAACACATATTTTTGTGCAAGGTTTTAAACCATGACACTCAATATGAGACCACTCTCACCATCACACGGTTTCTCCTTCGTGGTTAGGTGATTCGGTAAACTGCGTATTATATATGTGGATACCTCGACTCTTTCGGCTGAAACATATATCCCTGTAACATATTCATACAATATTTTCATGTGATATATATCATACAACATTCTGCAGGTAGTCCACTCAACCAGAGGTCACTACGTTCCGCCAGCCACTGTAAGCGGATGGAGAAAAAGACCCTCTGATAGCGTATTTGCCAGCAGCAAACAAGAAATTGGTTGCCCACAGAGCTGCCTGCCCAATCCGCGTTTCACCTGAGTTATTGATGCTAGTTGAAACGTTCTTACCAGCGATGCGGATCCCACGGGACGCGGATGTGGTCTAGTGCCTTATATTTCGTTTGGTTTCACGAGGAAAGAATCTAAACGAAGCAGAGTTAAAATGAGAAGCGCAGAGACGTTTGACGCTACGGAAGTGCTAGACAATGAATGTTTATACAAGGAGTGAAAGACAGGAATCATAGTGTCCAGATTATTATAAGCACATTATGATGTTAAAAATATTAATGGCATTTTTCGCCCGGCGATCCCAAATGTACCCATATTGACCAATTTCATTCACTTTCTTAGACCTCCATTCCTTAACGAAGAAATTAAGAATGTTCCAGCGACCAGCGTTTGATATTCATAGAGAACATATTCCTCGCTTTGGCTGGAGAAGTTAGGCTGTTCGAGTGAACCCGACTACTTCTGGTCGGAATGCAATACTACTTCATTCCATTGACGCAAAAGTCCGCTAAAAATGGTTTGGCTTCTTACGTAAAATCTTCAGGTTTCTCTCGCTCCAACCGCTAATGGAACAAAGTTACTCTTTCCTAAAAATTTTGCTGACTTAAATGAATCGTTGTCTCAGGTTCCTTGATGATTCAGACAACTTCAACCGTGCAAATGACTCTTCACCTTGTAATTCCAATAGACAATGAGGCGTTTTAATAATTCTCAGCTGAAAAAATAACTCAGCGGACAATGTTGATGGCAATGCAGTGTAACTTACAGTATTGTTCAAGGGAAAGGAGAGAAAACATGTAGAAAAAAGTATATATGGCTCATGTGTAAACATCATAGGTCGGTCTCATCGATCCACCACCCAAGAAGAAAAAGAGTGTATTATCATTAATCAACTTTTGCGAGGAATTTTTCCGGTACAAAAAAGGAAAAATCAATAGGGGGCGATGACGTCGTCGACCTCAGCTCAATCCAATGGAAGCTATGGCAACCCACCCATGCATTTCCTGCCAGAGTTTTTACTCCCCATCCCAATGAACTTGCTGCAACTATGAAACCTCGAAATTCAAGAGCAGACACTCTCAGGATCATCTTAGCATTGTTATTACTTTTTCGTGGCATTGGCTCTGTGGATTTCATTCCGTATTTTGGTGTGCATCCTGGGCAGAGATATGAGAACGTGACTTTGCAATCCAAGAAATCGAATCTCGGAGCTTGCACTGCATATTGTGCGATCCAGAATCCAAGTCCCTGCTTCGCCTTCAACTACCGGTGGACCGACGGTTCGTGCCAGCTAGTTCTACACGGGAATGGCTCGCTTACAGAAGGCGAAGGGTACCATTCCTTCGTTCAGAGTGAGTTGAAGGCTTTGTAGTTTCCCCTTTACGAATTGTGAGACAAGATCGTTAGCTTTAATTCTCAAAGCAGTAGGCTTATGCCTGAGAGAGCCTCCGATGATCCCGAATGCCGTTGCGTCTCATGAGGGATGGGACGGAAGTTTTCCAGCACCTAAAGGAGGGGTGGTCACTTTTTCCTGTGAGAACTCGAACGGATTCACGGATGGAGCATCTGTCCACACTGCGAAGTGCGCCGCCCTGGAGCCGGATTCCTGGTGCATCTCTTTCCAGGAGGGAACAGTCTATTGTAAGAGCATGGAGGTCTTTAAATTTCCTGACACTGAAAACATAATATGTATGATCTAATCTCTTGGCATAATAGCCATGATATTAAGATGAAAACGTCGATGAGACCCGTCTATTTCCCGTAGCAATAATTTTACCGAACACTGAGTTAGGGTCCATTCAGTCTCAAATCAACACAAGAAGTAGTTATTATTATGACGCCATTCCATGCCAAATATGCAGCTTTTCACATCAGATACTTCCAGCGATGCAGCAATTTGAATTTAGCAACAAAACGACCGATTTCGGGTCAAGTGATCATCGCTTAAGACCTTTGTTCTTATCAACATGGAAAGATGAGATCGATGTCATTGTAAAAGTATTTTCAAGTCCTTTCAAATGGTGTGGCACGCAAACACCTTCAATTAAAGTCAGGGTAAAAGATCAAAAGGTCTGAGCTTTGACCTTTAATTACAGAAAAATATAATTTTTCTCTTGATAAATTACCAATTCCTTCTAAATTGGTGCTCAAATTTTGAAATTGGAACTCCGATAAGATCAGGAGATACAAATATGAATATGAGATACAAAAATGCCCAGTGACCGTTTAAAATTCGTTGTAAAATGTGTTAGTGAAACTAAAACTGGACGAAGGTGAGGGACACGCCATTTTTCGTGAATGAAGTTTCCCAGTTGCTAGATCATTTTGCAGGACAGTGACTTTCTCTTCTTTTGAAACAGATAATATGGGATATGTTTTGGTGGCAACCTTTTCTTTGTTCATGGAGGGAAAGAATGAAGCTATTGCGTTCAAGGAATCATGCGTCATTGTAAAAATATATTTCCTATGAACTTTGTTTCTCTTCTTTAGTTTTCCAATATGTAAGACTTGAATGAAATTATTGGGATATTCTCATTTGCCCAATAAAGCGTCATCATCTGTTGATTCTGTGATCGTTGGAGACAGTCTCTTGAGGCCAATCTCTTTACTGTCCCTCAAACTCCGTCTAACCCTCCGTTTTCGTGGCAGTTGGCTGAGGAATGCCACTTATTTGGAAAAGAAAATCTCATGTTGGCACACGTAGAGGAAAGTTTTCCGATTTTTTCCCATGCGAAGCGGGCTCATCTGAAAAGTAGTTCCTTTTTCGTGGAAAGTAACCAAATTTACCCTTCAAGAATTCAGGATAAACTGCTGTTAGTGTAATGCTTCAAAATGTGTAAGTAAAAAAACGTGTAAGTACTGTCAGGACTTGTACCTTCTCGTTTCTCTCTGTAGATGCTCATACTTTTTCTCTCAAATGGCTAATGATTTCCATTTCTGTTAGCCTTTGCGGATCACCTCTGTCATCTGGTTTTACACGAAGTAACTTCCTCATCAAAGTACCCTCAACCTTCTTGAACTTCTCTGGAATGTTTTAATTTTTGCTAAAGGAGACTCTCCGATGAAAAGCAAGCTTTGATGAATTCTAGCGGATATTGTAGGCCTTACCAACCACGTTAGTATGGCTCCTTGGACTAAGGTCTTCTTGAACTGACATGAATTGACTTGACTTGAATTGAATTGAATTGAATTTGAAGTATGCTCGACTCAGTTCTTGGTAACTGATATTCGAGCGATTTTCTTCCGGTAATCACTGCAATATTGGCTTCAAGTCCGGTAGAGGCGTCATTTGGCATTTTGCAATCCAAACCTCCATCCATCAATATTTATTACTCAAGTTATTCTCGGGCACTAATACGAACTTCACAGGTGAGAAGCAGCATACATATCCGGAATGCCTGTTGACGAAAAGGGGAATGGAATATATAGGAACAGTAAACGCGACGCAATCAGGACTGGAGTGCCTGCCTTGGAGAACCTATCCCTACAATGAGAATGGTGGCTCCCCGCCCGCCAAACCCTATGGAAAGCCGAATATCAACATTTCCATCGAGGCCAACTTCGTTAATTGGAACTCCGTGATTCACTTGAACTACTGTAGGAATCCGGACGGAAGGGAGAGACCTTGGTGCTACGTCTCAGATCCTGCGATCAAAAGCGAAGAGTGCGAGATCCCCATGTGTGCCGATACTGGTAAGAGATTTAATTTCGAAGTTTGAGATGAACCGTGGTGGAATTAGGACAAGTTCTCTTAATCCATGAGCCCGTGACGAGACTGACATGTGGACGGAATCATTGTCTAACTTTTTCTTTACAAACTCAAATGAAATTTCAATTAATGTTTCGAATCGACTGTCTCTAGAGCCGAAGTTCGGTCATGGCGACGTGCAAATCACCTCAACACAGTTTTAATGGGCTGGGTGTGTCTTCCCTCTGAGGAGAAACAAATGCCTAGAATAGTGAAGCTCTGCACAACCATTATGGCTAAAGTCATTCAACCTTTCAACGGGAGGAAAGCAAAATTGAGCATGAATCTCTTTTGTCTTTGCTGCTAGAACCCCCTGAGTGCAAGATAACCGAAATGGGTGCCGAATACAGAGGAAGGAAGAACGTGACGATCACGGGCAAACCATGCCTTCCCTGGGCAGACAACCCAAATGGATTGGATCTCACTTCGTTCCCCGCTTCCATCGATCTCGACGCCCATCGCAACTTCTTTCGCAATCTAGACTTTGAGGTTTGCTATTCATTCGATGGAGGATTAATGCCTGATTCGAGTATGATATCAATTTATTATTCAAGGGGGAAATTTGGAGATGACATAATTGGTTGCAAATGATTTCTTGTTCATCTCGGTCGGTTGTGCATGAATATCCTTTTCTCAAATGTTTAACTAATCATTAGATAAAAGATGAAGCAAATACGTCATAAACAGACATAGATACATATATGAGACATTCCACATGCCTCGATATAGTTTTTTTTGCTTCGTTTTGGATTGCAATTGCTTTGAGAAAACAGCAAGTCGATTTCAAGCATCAAAATTCAAGGTGCTTTTGCAAGGAATAATGGATTGGATGCGAGCAATCATGCCATTCTTGCAACACCTGCTAAACTGCACGGTCGCTATTCATCGATGTCACTCGTTTGCCCAGAATGGAAAGCTTCATTCCACGCCCGTACTTATTTTCGAGATATGGGATGGACTTTTACAACTTGTCAATGGATTTCTGCCGGTGTGGTGCCTCTTGAATGAAGGAAAGGAGGAGTACTCCGCAATGCAATGGCTGACCACCTATTTTAGGAGGGCCGCCATCATAACTGGCATTTTACGCTTGCGCAGTATTGCACAGCGATCAATCCGAGTTTGCAATAGAAGCCTCACCATCACAGTGCTGTCACCTAAAAAGTTCACACAAACAATAGCTTATTCGCAGCATGCCTTGTTACCTTATTTATTGAACACCCCTTATACATTTTCTATTTGAAATTTGATAATTGGCCTCACGAAAGCGAGGCGAGAGAAGTTTCACGGAAAATCGCAGATTCGCTCTGGTCTCGACACCTCTCGGATGAACGTGGAAACGAGAGTTTCCACAGTACTCACAAGGGAATGATTGCAGTACAGGGCCTACAGGGCTTCCTGCCTGCTGTCGGAAGTGAATGGATTCTAAGCGTCAATGATGAAATACGGGATGATTCGTCGGTTCATCACCAATTGCCTTCTCACGGCTACAGCAAATATGTGGATCACCATTTACTCCTGGAAGTCCATCTCTCAAATTGCAGAAAATCATATTTCCATAATGACATACTCTTTTGTCACTGTTTACATCAACTACAGTCCTGTGAAAGGGTTCATGGATGACGAGCCGACGAGTACGAAAGTTCTTCCAAAGTTGTATTATTTTTCCCATCGCAGTCGCATTGGTTGGTGACAATTAAAATTTGTGGTATGTGGGACCGGGAGCTTGCAATAAAACAAGGTTTGCAAATAGCGACTGCATTTGCTGCATGTTTCCTGTCCCCATCCGTTCTTATGGACTAATGTACGATGCCAGCCGTTGATGATTCTGAGAGTGGGACCCCCAACATTTCAGCTGTTCGTCTCAGGAACCCAGTCCAAGGAGTCTCTTGATGAGAGGGAAAACGAAGTCAGAAAATCCGGAGCTCCCTTGTAAATTTGAAAGCGATAAAATGGAAGGTACTGCACTTCTAGCCTGAGTGGGGATGACTCCATCGATGCATGAATTATGTCGTTTCCCGACCCATTCTTAACAACCGATGGAATTTGGCGGAAGTCACCAACCAAATGTATTCCTCTTTTAACTGACGGGACATTTAGGTTGGTGATGAAGTCAGGGAGTGTACAACCAAGAGTTCCAAAATTGGGATTTTGCGGCATAGGAAGTTCATCTCATGTGATAAGCGACTCTGTTTTCCAGAAAATCGGTAGGAAAGCATGTGTGTTTTGCTTTAAGTGATACAACAAATGAAAAAGTACATGGGGCTGCATGTAAGTCATGAAGTCTCCGAAAGTGATCCCTGGTTTCATATACTACAGCTGAAGAAAATCATTTGACACTTGAAATACAAAAAAGTAATACATTTGATCGATGCGCACACAGGCAAGAGTTTCAGAAAAAGTGCAATTCCAAAGTAATTATGTTCTAGATTCTCTTAGTAGTATATACATATTTAGAAATATTCTTACGCTTGCGCGTAAAAACAATCACCTTCTTTCCCCGTTTCTTCTAGGCTTAATGTACTAAGGACACAAAAAAATCGACCCACCTGGATCGAAATTATTATTATAGGGGACCTCGAGAAAGGGACTTGGGACCGATTGCTGGCTCTCTCGCGTCACGTCCTCATCATTTGGGGTTAAAGTTACGATTTTGATGCCTCTTTTTGAAAAAGTATATCTTCCCAAACCTTGGTTGTCGAAACGTCATGCTTGTGTCATTCTCTCTGGGATCTACTGCGCAAGTGGACAAATAATTAATGCTAGCATGTGACTGTCGTTATCGAGGCGCCAAGGCACCAGAACTGAGAAATTTTTCCATTCCATTTTTCCTCTCTCATTCTTCGTAGAAATTTTCTATCGACAAAAGCATGCTTTATATTTTGGAGGCAATCCTGGTCCATCTTTGGGCGGATTGCGCATAGTTTCCTCTAGCGGTTCCCCTCAAAGTTTGGTGTTCCACCTGAAAATGCCACTTCTTTGGAAATGACGTGAGGTTTACTGACATTGCTTAATAACGAGGCTTTATTTAAAAAATTCCTCTGATGGATCTTTTAAGAAGTCTCTCAATGAGCTTCGTCCCCTGGCAGGGTCGAACCTCTGAAGGTCAAGCCAGCATGCCAGCAATGTGTAACGCAGTGGCCCGAGGAAGGGAAATGGAAAATTATATTGATATATATATTCAACCCAGCTGGTGACCCAAATAAGGTATTCGCATGCTCAGGGTTGGGAAGCCCTGCAATGGAGGGATGTTTCAGGGATCAAATGAGACCAAGATTGGTTACTGCCTCCTAGGAAATAGAGAACGCCGATTTTTTTTAGCCGATTTGCATGAAATCGTGAATCCTCGCGCGAAGCTCTTCTTCGTTGGACCTCCCTCCCTCCCCACTCCCCCCACGTTCCTTCGCCTGCCCCGCCACACTTCTCCCTCGCTTGCTTCTTTCTGCTCTGCGCGAATCTCACTGGTTCCAGGCGCCGACTCTTCCTCTGTCGGAAAAAGAGCCGCAGCACTTCCTAAGTTGAGGAGCATGAAGGATTTCTGTGATTCGTGAATTGCCGGTATCAATCCTTGTGCAGGCGGTACACCATCTAAGGCTCTCATGGCGACGATATTCATGTGATTATTGTCATTCCAGATTATGATAAATCGGACATGTGATACTCGCAAAGGAGAGTTTGTCAACTTCTGTCCCCCCTTCCTTTTTCCGGCTATGTTCCCTCTTCTTTTTCCGAAACTTCTGCAGGATTCGCTTTTCCTCGCCCCTTTGGATATTAATGAAATCTCGGTGCAAAGGGTTTACTGCAGGCTTCAAGTTGTTAAGGAGGAGAGTGTCTGCTTTTTAATACCCCATTAATTAACAACCGTGCCTGAAGACAATTATCTGCACCCATGTTTTCATTAGAATTGCTTTCAGGAGAGGGAGTACAGGATGTAGGGGGATAGCGGCGACGCCTCAAGAGGAATCTCAGTAGGAGGAATCGAAAATAAAATTATAATAAAATAATAGTATTAATTAGAATAATAGTATTATAGTAATAATAGTAATAAAATAATATCAGTCTGATAATAAAAGGCAAGAAAAAAGAGGTTCTGCGGGACCAAAAAAAATCAATAGCTCTATGCTCCAGTTAAAGTCGCGTCGGTCTCGGCAACAAGTGCCCTGCGTACTCTATCCCTTGGTGACGGTAAATAAATATTGGTCTCATTTAATCCCTGAAACTTCCCTCTATACTTTATTTATATTCCCTCTATGCCAGGGCTTCCCTACCCTGGACGCGGGAATCTAATATATATAGGTGATCGTGACTGACTAACTGATTGACTGACTGACGCTAATTCTAACCATTCTCTAGAGAAGTTAGGAATATGAAACATAGTACACATGTACCTGTTAGGATGCAGAGTTCAGAAAAAATTCGACTTTGGAAGTACATGTCCTGGGGGTACACATTTTCGGGGAAAAATTTTTAAAGATATATGTTGTGACGGATTAGGATGGTATCGAGAGGCTTGCCTGCTTGTGCCGGGTTCGGTGGTGTAATAGTAGCACATCTGACACGTAATCCGGAAACCAGGGTTCAATTCCCGGCTTTTCCTTGGCTTTCTTTCGGCCTCTTAAGCCATCCATGTCCCGTTACTCATTCCCCCTCCGTAATAATGTTTTTCTTGAGTAAAACGGAGAGACGTGGAAAGCTGAAACTTGGCATGGACGTGTCTAACCGAGACGATAACGATAAGTTCAGGAAAAAAGTAATTTTTTCTTCCTGGCATATTGAGTTGGTGTGGAAAGATGAAACTTGGTACATAGCTACCTGTTGGGATGCTGCAGAAAAATTCAGACTCTGGAAGTAAATGCCCCGAGGGCACAAATTTGAATGGGAGATGTTTTCAAATAATGTTTTGCATCCGTTAAACTGAAGAACATGGAAAGCTGAATCGTTGCATGAATGTGACTACTGAGACAAGGAGTTAAAGGAAAATGTTAAGTCTCGAAATATCCCCTTGGGGGAATTTTCTCGATGTGCGATATTTAAAAATAATATTTGTCGTTGCGAATTGGACTTAAATAGAATGAAACATGGCACAAGTATAAGTGACATAATATTATTGCTTTGAAGGTGCATCCCCTCCGGGCATAGCTTTTGGGAGGGTCGGCTCTTCCAAACATGTTTATCACCAGCGAAAAGGGCAAACGTATAAGGTTGAAACTTTGTGAGCATGTAGTTCTCTTAGAATTGATTTCGATTAAAAAATATATGGTAATTTTTGGTTAAAACGCCTCAGGGCACATTTAGTAGAAAAGGCGTATTTTCTTGAATTTTCTGATCCAGGAAAACAGAGGGCGCACGAAAGTTTAAACTTTTGAAATATATCCCCTTAGCGGTGATTATAGGAGGGAAGTACTTCAAAATGTATTCTCCAGACTTACAAAAAGGGACACATGAAAAGATTTCAAGTTAGGCACACTAGAGATCATAGAAGTAATGATTTTGATGAAAATGAAGACTTTCGTCCCCTACGTCACGTATTTCTATGGGGACGTACTTTAAATTCGCCATTTCGCAAAGACGAAATGAATTAATCACTTTCCAAGGTGATGGAGCGCCGAAGGCGCGGCCATAGCTAGTATCATATATACCTAGTTCTGCCATAAATACTGTTACAAGTTGTACATGTTCATTGCATTTTAACGAAAGAAGCTAGAAACTTGTAACCTGGTAATTGTGTAGTGTATTATCTGCTGCATTGTTTGGTAACATTTTGGCTGTTGTGTTGCGTGCAGTAAACATGGAGTAGGGTGACAGAGAATCGCATAGCAGTGATTGCCCTGCACAAAGTGGGTTAGAAACCTGCAATCATTTCAAGACTTTGCAGCCAATTGGAATCAGTCGGCAGTTTGTTTACCGAGCTATCAAACGTTATAATGATACTCAGGGAGTACGAGACCGCCCTAGATCTGGACGTCCACCCACTCCCAGAACACCACGAGTCATCAAAGAAGTTAGCAACAGGATTCAGCGAAATCCCCAGCGCAAGCAGAAAGTGATGCCTAGGGAAATGGTCATCTCGACCTAAAGCACGTATCGGTTGACTAAATCAGACCTAAGGATGGGTGCTTACTGAAGAAGCACCCGACACATGCTGACTCCATCTCTGAAAGAAATCAGGAGATCCGATGGAAAGTGTTGCTGCAGAGGTACGCGCAAAGCAGACACCACAAAATCCTTTTTACTGATGGGAAAATCTTCACTGTTGAAGAAAAATTCAACTGGACAAATGGCCAAGTGTATGCCCACAACTCTTGGGAAGCTGCAGAAGTCATCCATAAGGTGAAGAGAGGTCACCGTACTGCTTCTGGCATGGTTTGGTAGGGGGTGAGTTATAAGGGTGTCACCAAGCTGCATTTTTGCAAGCAAGAAGTGAAGACATCAGCCAAAGTGTACCAGGAAGAAGTCTTTAGAGAAGTCAGTGAAGCCTCTCAGCTAAACAATGTTCAATGGGGGCAACTGGATCTTCCAGCAAGATTCCGAACCTGCTAACAAGGTTAGGACAACGCAGGAATGGCTAGCCAGCAATGTCCCCGAGTTCAAAAATCAGACCTAAGGATGGGTGCTTGCCGAAGAAACACAGGACACATGCTGACTCCATCTCTGAAAGAAATCAGGAGGTCGCGATCGAAAGTGTTGCTACAGAGGTACGCGCAAAACAGACACCACAAAATCCTCTTTTCTGATGAGAAAATCTTCACTTTTGAAGAAAAATTCAACTGGCCAAATGGTCAAGTGTATGCCCACAACTCTTGGGAAGCTGCAGAAGTCATCCATAAGGTGAACAGAGGTCACCATACTGCTTCTGTCACAGTTTGGTGGGGGTTGAGTTATGAGGGTGTCACCAAGCTGCATTTTGCAAGCAAGAAGTGAGGACATCAGGCAACGTGTACCAGGAAGAAGTCTTAGAGAAGTCAGTGAAGCCTCTCAGCTAAACAATGTTCAATGGGGGCAACTGGATCTTCCAGCAAGACTCCGAACCTTAGTTCCGAAAGTTAGGACAACGCAGGAATGGCTGGCCAGCAATGCCCCCGAGTTCATCAAGGCCTCCGATTGGCCATCTGTGAACCCAATGGACAACAAACTGTGGGCAGAGTTGGAGCTGAAGGCCAACCACAGAAGACATCCAAATATTGAAAGTCTCAAGCGAGCCCTTGCAGAATCAGCAACCAATATCCAATGGAAGTGGTGCGTGCTGCGATGGATGAGTGGNGGCCAACCACAGAAGACATCCAAATATTGAAAGTCTCAAGCGAGCCCTTGCAGAATCAGCAACCAATATCCAATGGAAGTGGTGCGTGCTGCGATGGATGAGTGGTCTGATCGTTTAAAGTCATGTGTGAAGGCTAGAGGTGGACATTTTGAATAATGTTTCTGTAATATGTTAGTAATTATGTAGGGAAATAAATGCTGCTAGCAAATACAGCGTATGTTTTATATGAAAAGACTTATTAAAAAATAACATGTCACAGTATTTATGGCAGGACTAGGTATATAGCTAGTATGATATGTAAGGCGCGAACTGGGCTGAATAGTTTATTTTCAGTTCCCTTTCTGGGGCCACTGAGCATGGCGTCTCGATAACGACTATCCAGTGCGCGCATACATTTATTTTTTCATTGTGCGCGGTATGTCCCGCAGAGAATGGCGCTAGTATGACGTTTCTTCTGTCAAAGGTTGGAAATATAAAAGTTTTCAAAGACAGGCATGTAAATCGTGACCTTTGACTTTCAATCTTGGTCCCAGGCTTGACACAAGTGACCCAGTAATCGACTCCAAGGCCCTTTCTCGAGGTCCTCTGCAACAATAATAAAGCACAATTTCGATCGAGGTGGGTCGATTTTTAAGTGTCCGTATTAAATTGAATCTTTAATTTTTTAAACATAAATTTTCATAAATTTAAAATATACTTGTCCACAGTGGAGCAAATCTCATTGCCAGTTTGGTCACTGGTGTTATGTCGATGATGGAGGAAATACAACTTGGGAATACTGCGATATCCGCTTCTGCGAGAGCCGAGTTGATTTTGAAGCCAAGGGGAACAAGTATCCAGAATGCCGATTGTCGGAGAAGGGGATCGAGTACGTGGGAAGCCAGAACACAACCGAGATTGGGCATGATTGCCTGAAATTGGGAGCGGGATATCGATATTATCGGGAAGTCTTCTTACTTGATGCTAATTATATTGCTTTCTATCAAAGCTCGAAATATACAGAAAATTACTGCCGGAATTTTTAGCATTATGACAGGCCGTGGTGCTTTGTCTCCGACCCCAAGACAGTGTGGGAGTACTGCGAGATCCCTTTCTGCCACGACCCCCGTACGTCTCACAACGCGCCAAAGTATTAGACGTTTCACTGAGACTCATCAGTTCCTTTGTCTTCCAGACCCACCGGAATGCAAGCTGAGCCGTCACGGAATGGAATACATGGGGAAGCTGGACGTGACGATATCTGGCTACCCCTGCAAGTCTTGGCTGAGGATGGTAGGACCCAATCAAGTTTATCACGCATTGGTTCAATTCGTATTTTCAGACGAGTGTGATAGCAGCCACCGGTTCTGCCGCAATTATGATGAAAATCGCCACGGCCTATGGTGCTATTCTGACTCTGACAACGGACCTGAATGGGAGTATTGCGATGTTCCCTTCTGCTCCTCAGCAAATGGGAGACCGTGTGACATTAAAATAGCAGGAAAATGCGTCAGTGAGTATTTCTCTTAAGTATATTTGATGCTATTCCTTTTCATGCCCTACTTTCCATCTTTCGTTAACTGAAGCCTTTTCGACACGCTCAACTGAGGCATTTCATGAGCTTTCTAAACCGTCTCTCATGACAGATTCCAAGCTAATGCGGAGTAATTCTTGGATTCTCGGAAGGAGAAGTTGGTTATTGCTAGTACTAGTGAATGGAGGAAATGGCATTTAGAAATGAAGAAGATGGAGTGAAGTTGGCAGATGTATGACTATGAATGGAATGAAGTCGATGGAACCGCATGAACACCTGGCTCATGGTAGCCACAGAAGTGTCATGTGGTTCCAATTAGCACGAACACCAAATTTCACCTGTTGCGTCACTTGTACACTGTCAACTGAAAAGATAAAATTATAGCTCGACCTATACAGGGTGTCTCAAATACGCACTTGGATCGTGGAGTACTTCCTCGACCAGCTAGAAAGATTTGTTTGTTTTTTTCCCTTGAAAGATAATTGACTTTAAAATTGATTTGCGAATTTGTGGACGTTTTTATTGACTCTTTGAAATGTTACAATGAATTAAATTTATTTAAAAAGCACAAGAACTTGTATGGCCACAATTGTTCTTGATCACAGCTCAAATTCGCTTGGGCATTGAGTAGAGAAGACTTTTGACGAGTCGTCATCTTGAATTGTCATATTGAAACTCTTGAAGAATTGCCAATAGGTGATGCAGTGGTGATGTAGTGGCAGTTCTTCAAATGCCCAAGCACAGACGAGCCGTGATCAAGAACGGTGGTGGCCATCCTGATTTTTGAGTTTTCGTTTTCTTAAATAACACTTAAATCCTTGTAACTTTTCGAAGAGTCACTAAAAATGTGGGAACATTTGCAAATTAATTTGAAATTAAGTTATCTTTCGAGAAGTAAAAGACAAATCCTGGTAGTTGGTCGAGAAAGTACTCTACGACCGTCGTACGTATTTATGAGACGCCCTGTACTTACATCTTACCAAATTCATTGTTTTGCTCTCTTTCTGAGAGTTATTCCCTGCCGTACTTTCTCGCTTGACAGCCCCGCACAAATGCAAACAAGACAAGGAAGGTACCACTTACATTGGTACGGAAAACATCACTAATAAGGGATTCCAGTGCCAGGCATGGCTAAGCAATTCACCAAACAACTAACTCACCACCCTCCTGGACTATGGCGATCTTGGTCAATATTCCTATTCTCATCACGACAGTAGTAAGTGGAATACTTTCTTTTTCTTTCCTCATTTGGAATGTACCTTCGGTGAGCTCTAACTAATCACCTTGGGGGGTGGGTATATGCTAATTTGGAAGTTACCAGCTCATCAGCTCCAAATTAATGAATATCCTTGCTAGAAAATTATAGGAAAAAGAAAATTATGTAGATCATGTGGAAACTTAGCGGCATGTACAGTAGCGGTTAGTCGTTTCCCCAACACATATTCCAAGAAAATTCATATCTATGAGAGAAATAAATTGGTGTGCCTTACTTTCGTGCCGTCCCTCGTATGTTATGGTTTTTTGAAGGTCTCCTGCAGGATTTCTCACACAGATTATAGCATTCTTACATACCCTCCTGACACAAAACATATCTGAGAAAACAACTCTTTTTTTGGATGAGGGCAAATATTTTTGAAATATGTTTTCCAAGAAAATGTTTTGTCAGTCGTACAGGACCGTGAAAAAAAGGAAATTCTATGAAGGCTCATTTCAGGGAAAGAAGATTCTATGAAATA